TCGCTTGGTTTTATATTCAATAAAACAGCATTTGCTCATGAAATTTACTGCACTAGCCATGCTAAAATTTGCTTAGAACAGCCTAGACTTTTCTACTTGATGGATGCTGTGTTTTGCTCAGTTTTTTCTTGAGTTTTAATCATTTTTGGCTGTTGTTTCAGCCTAAAAATACCTAGAAAATTTTGTTGTTTTGCCCATAAATTACTACTATTTTACCCAAAAAGCTTTGCTATTTTATCTAGAAAATTTAGCTGTTTTTATCTAGAAAGTTCTACTATTTTGCTGTTGTTTCACTACTGTTTGCCCAAAAGTGTGCTACTGTTTTTACCAAGAAAGTTCTACTGTTTTGCTGTTGTTTTATTATTGTTTTGCTCATAAATTGCTATTGTTTTTACCCAAAAAGTTCTACTATTCTGCTTTTTGGCTGCTGTTTTACTTCTGTTTTGCCCATAAATTGCTATTGTTTTCACCCAAAAAATTTTGCTATTTTGTTGTTATTTTGCCCATAACTACTGCTGCTTTGCCTAGAAATCATCGCTATTGTGTGTGACTTTTGGTGATGTTTTAAACATATATTAATGTGTTAATAAGAGTTCAATGGGTAGAAATAGTAAGGATGTATAGGAAGAAATTGCTTCTTTGTATAGAAACTTGATATTGGTATTAGAAGCCAATTTAGCTAAATGGGGTGTTTTGTAATCTTGTTTGTTCTTTGATGTGGCATAGGTTTTAAGTCACCTTCGTCTCCCTGAAACCTTGAAACCTTGAAATTCTTGCTTGTTGTTTAGCTACAAGACGAGGTAAGTAAAAGTATGGTAATACCCTTGGATTTTAAGGTAAAGGTTTTTTTGAAAGCATATTTTGGATGGTTTTGAGATGGTGGTGGGACAAAACCCGTTTTACACAAACACAAGCATGATTGGTTTGAAATGAAATTATTATCATTTTTATTGAGTTGAGCATGCTTACTTGGAGTTTACTTGACTGCCTTGATAATCTAGAAGTTAATTGTAAATTATGGTTTTCCTATTAACTCCTGCCTGGTTTTGTCTCCAATATGATCATGTTTTACTGTGCCCGCTAGTGGGAGGTTTATAAATGCTAGCTTATGTCGACATGTTAATTGTGGAACCAGTTCATGTTATACTTGTTATCCTACTTGTAGGATTATACACTAGCAATTTCTACGCCCGCCAGTGGGAGGTTAATATATGCTAGTCATGACTTATAGAGGAGACATCTATTTCATTCTCATACTCATACCGGTTTTATCTTGATACTTGATTATATTGTTAGTATGCTTTAACTTTAAATAAGGATTACCCATCTTTTACTTACTGAGATATCTCATGATTTTTCCTTGTCCACCATTTCAGGTAGTGAGACCCAAGATGAAGGAAACCAAGGGGAGCGACGAGCTACAAAGCTAGCCTCTTGTCTTTTAGAGTTAGGCCGTTAAACAAAAAAGAAAAAAACAATTTTTCGACATAGCCTTTGGATTATAAAGCATTCTTTTGTAGACTAGATTTCCCCTTGGAGATAGTAATGGCTATATTGATGGACTTGTATAAGTTTTTGTATACTCGTGGCCTAGCAAAGCTTTGGTTCTTGAAAGTCAAATTTTATCTTAAGATATTGATCTTAGTTATGAATTAAGTACATTTGACCCCTGTGCATTTATGGGATCCTCTCACGACATCTATTTCACTCCCAATTCTGAGGCGTGACACACTTAATACATAAAATTAATGTAGTTAACAAAAATAGTCAAAATTTGCAATAATTAACAATGTCAAGAAAAATGTGCATATAAGGATACAAACTTTTCCTCTTTTTTTTTTTTTCAGGATGCAAACTTTGTAGTTTCTAAATAAGATGGTAAACTTTCAACATTTTCTGCTTAAGAATGTCCACTTAGCATTTTTTTCTATTTATGAATTATTTGGATGGTTAAAAATGTCATTTGCCATGTTAGTATCTATTGGCTTAAATAATCCAAGAGGGGAGGTGTATTAGAGTTTTCAATTTTTTTTTTTTCTTTTTGCAACCACTAGATGGAAAACAAAGAGAGTAAATAAGAAGAGCTTACATAATTGATTTTATAGATGCCAACTTAGCGTTTTTTCTATTTAAAGATTATTTGAATGATTAAACAGTTATTTGCCATGTTAATATCTATTGGCTTAAATACTCCAAGAGGGGAGGTGTATTGGAGTTTGATAAGAAACATTTTTATATGGTTTAATATATTATTTTATTATTACCATTCGCAAGGATAATATGTGATTTTCAATAAATTTTACATTGTTTTCATTTTTTGTGCAAAAAAAGAACTTGAATGCATAATAATATGAGTTTTTGGGATTAATTGAATATCATTTGAAAGTTGAGGGACTAAATTGCAAGAAGAAAGGCACCTTTTTGGGACCTAAATGAATGAATCTTAAGTAATAGGAGCAAAGTGCTCATTGTAGAAAATTTGGAGGACCAAATCTGCTATTGTACCATTGAAGAAATTGCAAAAAAATGGACACGTGTATAGTGTTGACAATAATTTGGGGTGTCAGCACTATGCGTTAAGCGTTCAACATTGAAGTTTCCAATTTTGTCCCAAGTCCTACTTTTTTTTTTTCTAATAGGGTTTCTTAAACTCTATAAATATTTATTCAAAAATCAGATTTAGAGCTTTTGGGAGGGAGACCAAGAGAGAGATAGCTAAGAGAAATTTAATAACAAAAAAAGATCAAGGTTGGAAATCTTATATCGTCAAACTAATTTTACTTGTTTTTTAATTTTATTTTCTGATGTTGGATACTCTTATATTTATTATGAGATACTGATTTTCTTTTCTTTCATTATGAACTATTCAGCCATCTAAGGCTACAATGTAGCATGGTCAATTTGATATAAAATTTTATGATTTTTATATTTTTAAGGTTTATTATTTTATGTAAAGTATATATTATTGTTCTTAATACTTTTTAATGATTGCCCAATATTAAAACTGATTTGGAGAGTATAACTGAGACCAAAAAGAGAGTTTATACAATAACTTCTAGTAATATATACCATAAATTAAACAAAAGTCACAGATGGACCAATGTGATTTGTGCACCATTAGTAATAAGTGGACTTAATTTTCTACATAAACTAGGGAATTTCATAAAACATAATGCAATTTTATCTATTTAAATTCACATAGATATATAATGAGTTAATAAGTGAAGATAGGTTTGGTATAACTTTAGAAAGTATATTAAATAAAATAGGAAATTTTGCTGTCATATGAATAACAAGTACTTTGGAAGTATATTAATCTAAATTCTATATTGATTGATTATGGTGAAATCGAATGCCTTAGAATTTTAACTTTTGGTGGTACTCAAAGTCAATATAGTTTTTCATTAATTGTTTAGTTAGTTACTTTATTCAAATAATTTAATTTCAATTGTTCAAATAAAATTAAAATTAGTTAATTTTAGTACTTAATTAGTTTACAGTTTCTGTGGGATGATACTCTATTTTTATCATTATATTACTTGAACTAACTAGTACTCTTATTAAAATGAATTTAGGTCATCAGAGTTTTCAAATGTTTCTTCATTTTGCAACCACTAGATGAAAAGCAAAGAGAGTGGAGAAGAAAAGCTTGAACAATTGATTTTATAAAGATTTGGCATAACCACTTGGCATCTAATCCTCTACCTTGGCTTCACTCACCAAAGATTTCCTCCACACTCTCCACTAGTGCTTTAAAGTAGCTTAAAAATGCTACCCAAACTTTTTACAATGTGTTTTTCACTTAAACACTCCCCTTTACAAATAACCCCAATAAACGTCACATGGTTCTCTTTTGAAGGCTTCACTCACTCTCAAGTATCTCTTCTTGGAGCTTCACTCATTCCTAAGATCTCAAAGAAAGGGTAGAAAGAAAGATTACAAAGGATATGATCTCTCAAAGATACATATGCAACAAGTTAAATAATTATTTTGTTGGTTAATTAAATAATTGAGCTCTATATTTATTTTAGTCATGATTTTATTGTTATGTAACTTCTAGTCCTAGAGTTATATAAATATCAGAATAAATTTCTTTTGAGTGATTTTATGATCTAATATTTAGGAGTTACTAGAAATTATCTAGCTTGTATAAATTTTAATTTCAGGTAACTTATATAAAGTAATAACTTAAATTTTTTTAATTATATAAATACTAATCCTTATTTGGTTGCCCAATATACTTAGGTTCTTTGTCATCTAAACCAAGAGGATTCATAATCTCTTAAATAATGACAAACTTCCAAGTTTTCTCAACTCTTTTAATTTTGGTTAAGTGGAGTAGTCATGGCTAATGAAGAATTGGCTGATAGAACTCTTCAAATTGAATTTAAAACTTCTAACGCATTACAATTTTAGTTAAAAGTAAACATGTGTGGAGCAGGTGCCTTACACTTTTATCACCATATGACTAAGAACTAATTTCAATGCTAACTCCTTCGCCTCTATATGGCTAGTTTGGTTTATGTTAAACAAAAATACTTAATTCCAAATAATAAAACTTTATTGATTTTTAGATTTTTTAAACCCTTGTGTTGGATGTGTTATTCATGTCTATTTCTAACATGAAACTCATCCATTAACAATATGTAACATTTCATTTTCTTATTGTAAAGATAGGTCCGAGGTTAAGGACCTCGGACGTACTGCTATAATTCCTTTATAACCGAAGTGAAGGATAAATCCAACGCTTCCCACTCAAACAGCTGCATGACAGCAACTATAAGCATGACAGCAACTATAAGCATGCCCGTACCTGATTCCTTATGACCAGCTGCACAGCAGTTACGATGGACACTCTCGCATCTGAATATCTCTCAATTTCCCCGTCCTGAAATAACCGTCTGGATAGACACATCAGACTCTGATTATCTTGCTTGTCATGCCACATGGGTTCCTCACTGGAGCCTATAAATACCCCCCAGGGGCCACGCCAAAAGGTAATTAAAACCAACCCTAAGCTCCTTTTATCTCCACTCTAAAGGTAGCCCCGATTATTGCTGACTTAAGCATCAGAGTGTCTACCCCAAGGTCCGTCTCGAGGCTTTGCAGGTCAATCCGTAGTGCGGACGTGGACTGAAGAAGGACTTCTGATTTGGTGCAATTACATTGGCGCCGTCTGTGGGAAATCGAATAAAAAGCTTTATT